AAACATCTTCTTCTCGAGCCTCATGGTTTCAAGTTTCATGAAGTGACATAGAACAAGTGCTTACTCTGTTGGAAATTGGAATATCTTTTTGCTTAATGTGAATTGAGAAGGTGATCTTTAAATGGTTATTATGTAGATAAGTTTAGTATGATTGTTGTGAATAAAAACTAAGGCTTTTATGCAGATCTTTGAATCTGAGATAATTAATGAGTTGAATGTAAACTATACAGAAGGAATATGAGAGATATTCATTATATATATTCTACTAGCATGGTTTATTTTGGTTACATCAAATACAGTTGAGTACTTGAGTTTAAGGTCCTATATAATAAATAAGAAAGTCAGTTCATGTAAGGTAGGTTAATTGCTAAACTTCTGCAAAACCAATATTGTTAAACAAGCAGAACGGTGGTTGCAGACCGTTTGTGATACAAAATTATGGATTTTGGCTGTTCGTCCCTACCACATCCAACTCATTCCTCAAACATGGACAAGAATTGCCCTTACACAACAAGGTTTTGGCGAAAATGCTTGTTGGTCCAGTTAGTTGTGTTTCTGGGTATCTGAAACAATTATTGATATCTTGAGCTAGATGACAATTCTTATTGTGGAATTGGATGGTTAGTACAGTAAGGCTAGATCATAGTGCTGTTTTGACTTCATGAATGAGAAACATTGATGGGCAAAGGCCTTTTAGTAGATGGGAGCTGAGCTTGCGTTCACATTGTCTAGGCTATTTGCTGTTTACCTAGCCCTGAACCTTGCATCACCTGCCAAGACTGGTGCCTCCTTTGAAAAGAGAAGTAAAAGGGACTTCACCTTGAGAGTTGAATCGTAGTCACACTATGAAGGAAAAAAAGTGGTAGCTTGTGCTTAGTATCTCACGAGTATATCGATCAAAATTTTGTGTGGCGTCCATTTAGTTGGCTTGATGGTTGTCAACAATGAAAGCTTGAAGTTCCCTTGTTACCAGTCTTCCTTTAGTTTTGGTTATGACGCGTGCAAATTCTACAGAAAAACCGTATGCAAGTAAATGACGTTCCACTACACCTCTGTTTGGGGAATTTGACAAAGTTCAGCTGGAAGTGGTTGTATGTAATTTACATGAATATTTATCTTTTAAAGCAGGGCTCCTTTCACCATGTCCAAACATACAAGCAGATGGTGGTGCTAATTGTTATCCGTAGATGAGCGTAGCAACACACAACCTTGTGTTGCAAGTAGAACGCTCATCGAACAAAGAGGAAAAGTTCAAAAATTGTGTTGTTTCTCGTATTCTTATTTGACCATAAATACGTGCTGGCCTTTGTATATTCTTCTACTACCACAGACTACCCAGAAGAAGAAAGGAAATCTAAAAAAATTGGGAAAAGTGTGTGTACAGTTCACAACAAATCTGATTAGTTCATTTTGATTATCTGCACTCGAAAGTATTTCTCATTAACTAAGGTTATCTAAGTTGCAACTGTGGCATTCCATGCTCTAGTCATATACAAATGTATACTTTTTCCCAATTAGTTGATACTATCTCTAAATTTGTGGTTTCAGGTCCCCAAGGACCACAGCTGCAGAAAGTGCTGGAAAGGCTTACTGGACAGCATACGGTTCCCAATGTATTCATTGGTAAGAAATGTCGTACTGTAGAGTTGTTGATCTTTACAAGTTTTTGGAATATGGCAACAGGTTCTTGGAGCTTATTTATTTCTTTTACGGGAGCTTCCTGGTTATATAATTCTAAACGTAATAAGCAGACAATTTCCTTCCATAATGAACAGAAACTTCTTGATGTGTGAAATTTTCAGAAGTATTGGCCATCTTCGCGGAGAGCACCATAAGTATTTGCAAAAAAATTTCATCTTTGAGAGGCAATATGTATGATAAGACAATTTATGGACCTTGGTTTAATATCACGATGAAAATGTAAAGAACTCCTTTAAAATTACAAAGCCAAAAAAAGAAAATTGAGACAACTGCTTGAATAGTTTGACAGTACGCTACTGCCTCTTAACGAAGAGAGTGCCTGTTTTGGCATTTGCTGCTGATTTTTATTGCGTGGTTTATGTGAAGGACTTGTAATTAATGTGTTTTTCTCTATGACCAGGGGCCAAACACATTGGTGGTTGTACAGGTACATTCTCTGATCAGTCTTATGCTTTCACCATAGATTTGCAGAAACAAAGTATTGCTATTCTGTGTTTTTTTCTTGAAAGATAATGATTTGACTTGATTCCCAAGTTTATAACCTATTACAATATTGTCAGCCTTGTGAACAACTCTAGTTTTAAGTACCCTTTCACTATGTTGCTCGGACTCTCCGAAAATGCCATTGGGTGTGTGTTCGATCCCCCAAATTAATGTGTTTTAGAGGATCCGATGCGGATGCGGCAACATTTTAGAGAGTCCGCACAACATTGCCTTCCCAGATTGTTTGTAGAGTGTTAGCAACAGGCTCTTGTGTATTACTTTCAAAAATGAGTCATCGGTAGTGTATGTCCTACCTACAAAAGTTGTGCTGAATTAATGAAGAAAAAGCTCTATAGCTGATGAACACTAGAGTACCTTTTCTAGTTCAAGTCTCTAGTCATTCTTTGCAATCTTGCAATTAACTCCAACTACTGTTGAACAATTGAATGACATTCATAATTATTGCAACATGAAAAAACTTGTCGGAGGAGCTGGATTACTGTTTTTTTTTTTTTTTTTTCTCTTTGGGTACAGATACTATTAAGCTGTATCGGAAAGGAGAACTTGAACCTTTGCTATCGGAAGCAAATGCTGGAAAAAGAGAGAGCTAAGCCCTCTTGAGCTATCCATGCGAAAGCGATCCTATCTCATGCTATCCTTGTACGCATTATTCTTTCAGATCTCTTTGACATATTCATATTTAATTATGTTGTTCCTTTACAAGTATATCTTGCTTCTGAATGTTAAACTCACTGTTGAAGCAGAAAATTTATGTTGATATAACTTCACCCATGACCATGAGCTGATTTTGCTTCCTCTCTCAAAGATTATAGTTTTATACTTATTGAATTTGACTAGCACGTACACTTATCTTACTTAAGAGAAACCAAATACTTATTTGAGACTTCAAATATGAACAGCTTGCTTAATATTATCAGCTTTCATTTTCCAATGGGTAGTCAACCCCCCCCCCCCCCCCCTCTTTTAAGCCCAATTTCTTCCATGCGACAAGCTTGTAGAGATGCATCGTGCATATTGCAGTTGATTGATTGAATTTATTCATGTTAAATTACTTACTAAACATTGGGCCAGAGCCGAGATGTGTATAAACGCGTCATGCATATTGGAGTTGATGGACTGAATTTGTTTGCGCTCAAATTATTTATTAAACATTGGCCAAGTCCCAAGATGCATATAAATTCTGTCCTTGTCCTTGTCCAGTAAGAGGGGCCAGTTCAAGAATTACAGTTTGAATAAAAGAGAAGATTGCAAAAGCTACTAACTTATTAAGAAGTCTCTATCCAAAGCTGCATGGTTGTACTTTTGTATAGTTCCTCGGGACATCCCGAAGACTCCAGCCTTCTTTTGTCAACTATTTTATCTTGGGATTGGGAGGAGTGACTTCTATCCTCAAGTTAGTATTGCTCGTGAAACAAAAGTAAAGAGTATAAACACTTATTTTTGGATATGGATTGTAAACAAGGAAGTTCACGAGCCTCATCCACGAGTATAATCATTCCTCTACCTCAGGGTGTATTGCTTTGTCGATAAGTGTATCCATTGTAATTACCATTCCTTGTCATATGTTTTACCTTGTCGCGTTCACCTATCCTTTGTGTCTCTATGCCTGCTCTGTGCCTCATCGTCGTGTCCATCAATCTCCCTCCTTTCTGTCGTGACAACCCTATATATGTTTGTAAGTAGGTATAGTGCATCTACTTCATCAAAAAAGTAGGTATGGTGCATCTGTTTCTAACTATTCAGCTTTAACGGTGTTCTTGGGTTTTGAGATGATAGTTACCTCCTATGTTGGACGGACTCTTCAAATTGTTGTCTCACCCGTGTCGGATCCTCCAAAAACACACTACTTTTGAAAGAGTGTAAATTAGTTATTACAATTTCTTAGTTAGTTTAAAGCCTTATTGTTAGCTTTAATTCCTCAAATTGTGAAATTTTGTCTATATCATTATCATCTGGAAATATAGTTGCTGTGTTTAATACAAACTGCATATATTCAAGGCCAAATCTGCCAAATGGCACTCGACTTGAACTACGTGCCCGGGATCGACACAATAAGGGGTTGTTTGGTGGTTCACATACTAATTATGTGGGGATTATAATGTAGGAATTGTTTATGTGGTGATGAAGTGATTGTTATCCGATTAATAATGGAAGGATTGTTATGCAAAAGAAATAATGATTGATAATAAATTAATTGTTATACAAAAATTACTTGTTTTAAGGCATATTTGTCAGTAATGTGGTTAATCATTGTATTACTAATACATATTCGTATTTCACATTTTAATTTGCATAAAATAATATATAAAACTTACTTAACTTAATTGGGATATTATTCAATACTGTCAACCACACACGTTGCATCAGGTAATTCGATGATTATGTTTTCTTATGCAGCCAAACAAAAGCTGCATTTATTATGCAATTATTATTTTTTCTTGCGCGATCAATCAAACACTATATTATTTTGTACAAAAGTTACGATTTATTCCTGCACAATCAACAAAAGGACTCCTAATGTTAACACCCAATGTCACAAGTAGAAGCAGCTGAAGTAATTCCTTGCACTAGCTGGCTTCAATACTTGGATCCATATCTACATGATATCGGAAGAATTATGCTTTGTAGGATTTGAGCAATGACGGCGATAACAACAATATACCCAGTATAATCTCACATAGTGGGGTCTGGAGAGGGTAGTATGTACGCAGATCTTACCCTACCTTCTGAAGATAGAGAGGTTATATAGTTTCCAATAGACCCTCTGGCGATTTGAGCAATGATAACAATAAAAATTAGAAAAGGGATGGGACTGTGAATTGCCACAAACTATAATAGATATTCATTCACAATCAAAGCCAGTATATAACTAGAGAATAAACATGGAAAACCAAAGGGCCTTGCGTTCTAAAAATATACTGCTAATGATGAACTGCACACACTCATTTCACTTCTTCGATTTCATCCAATGCATAGTTGTTGGTTGAAACATTAGCATAATTCACTTTGTTAAATCGTACCACAACTGGGTAACGAGTATTTGGGTCCTGAGACATTAACAACAACATTGACAACATTAAAAGTTAAACATCATTTTTTAAGTCTAATCAACTTAGATTCTATATTAAATTTCTTACCTGATCACAAGCTACAACTGAACCTGTGCCCTTGTACCAGTAAGATTCCTTCCTAAGAATTCTCACCTGTCAACAATATTATCTGTATTAGTTGAAAATAATCTTGCCACGTGGACTTATTCAGTGATGTCAAATGTCGTTGGAGTTGCTACAACAGAGAAGAATAACATGTACAGAAGATATGTACAACACCTACGGTATCATACCCAGATGTACCGTGCCTATTAGTTTCGAGGTTAAATAAAAGAGCATAGCGACGAGGCTAATAATCGAAGTCATTAATTGTTACGAATATGGAAACAATCAATCAATCCATGATTATACGAGATTTGTCATCATTATCATAACCGTTACAAATCAATCATATAATTGACGTTTAATGCAATAAATGACAGGAACAGGCAGAAGCTAAACAAGGCAAACAGTTACGAATGTAAGTACTATTTAAACCCTCCTTCCATATCTTGTATCCCTATCGAAAAACTACCAAGTTATACTTTTAATTACAAAATTCTATAACAGCTCTCTATTATTGGAAGATTATTGCTTTTATACGGAAGAAAAGTCTGCAATCATCAATAAGATTTTCATTTCCTTTATTCTCTCAATTTATTTTCTTATTGTTTGTTTCTTTTTCGATTATACTTAGGAAACGTGAATCATATCGGTTGTTAGAAATTCGAATTATTTGTTTTATTGCTTTGACTAAAAAAAATAATTTTTGGGTTAAACATTATCAGTAACATATTAGACGATTCTTCATTCGATCATGATCTAGATGAGTCGGTGCAGAATAAGTACGATTAATCGTCTATATAACTGAGATTAATAACATGAAGAAAAAAAGATATGTTAATTCAGTAGATGCAATATATTGAGCACTAGTGTGTATCACGAATAAATTTCACAGACAGTCAAAACTATATATTTTTGTAATGAAAAAATCATTTAAGTATGCTATATATAGTAAAAAATAAAAATACTCAGAAAAATGCTAAATCCATGTCCCGGAAATTGAGCTACTTACTTTGGTTCCTCTCTTGGGTCCAATTGGAGGTGGCTTAGGCTTGGCAGCTTTGGTTTCAACAGGTGTTTCAGCGGCAGCTGGCGGCGCAGCCTCTTCTGCCGCCCTTACGACGAGTCTCGGGGTGGTGGTGGTGCCATAGTTCTTAGACGAGAAGAACAACATAGTACTACGAGGAGTACTTGTGTTAGAGGCAACATTAGGAGTTGCTACCAAAAAGTTTGATGCAGCAGAAGCCATGTTGCAACTTGCCATAGTTTACTTGATTGTCTTACTTCTTATTTGTTTGAAAATTGTGATAGATATGGGGTTGTTGAAAAAGAAGAAAAAATAATCTTTGGCAAAACAATAGAGTAGATTTCAGAGGTTTTGAATTAATTGGATATCTTTTTCATGGACAAGGAGCAACCCTGTGGCCTCCAGTTATTGCTCTAGCCACTAAGACGCTGCCACATAGTTACCATATCTCATTCTTTTGGATAATGTCACCACTTCTCTTTTGTCTTTACTTTTCATTTTTCATATTCTTGCATTCTTTTCTTTTTTTTTATAATTTATATAACGGTGGTGTGCGAGTCCGAATCAGTTTACGCGCACACCGGTTAATTTCACATGATATATATTATCCTACATCAACATTGGCAGTGACGGATCTAGGATTTAGATTCTGTGGATTCAACTTTCAAAGTTTTTAACAATAAATTTATTGTATTTTTAAAGTTATAGTTCAGACCTACCATTTGTTGTAATTTGAATAACTTTTTATATATAAATTTATACTCCGTGACGAAAGTACTGGGTTAAGATAAACCCGGCGGCCATACTCTACGTCCACCCCAGAGTATAGGTATCAGATAACTTTATTTACCATGATTTGGATAGATGTGAATAAGTCGCCTAGTATTTTTATTTACAATATAAATAACTCTTTCTTTTTAGATTGATAATTTATCCTTTACATAATTTATAGAAACACAATTAGATAACAGTGGCCATAAAGTCACTAAGATTGCAACTCGTAACCAATGTTTTAAAAGGCGGGGTGTAAGGTGAGGCGTTTTAACTCTGATGAGGCGAGGCGTAAGCCCTGATACATGGGGCGTAAGTCCCACAGATCTTCAAATTTTACTAATTTCAAGAATTTTAAGATAGTATAAAGTAAAAATAATTATAAAAATTACATTAAAATTCCAAAATTATAACAAATAATCTATTTAAAATATTTATAAATTTTAATTCAACTATGAATAATACGAAAAGTATGACATATATCATAATATGCAAATTAGCTGCATCAAAAGTAATGTATTCGATACAAAATCTTATATGTATCTCTTAAGGAGTAATGAATCTTGAAAGAATTTCGATATTATAATTTGATATTTTTATTAAAATACTGCTTTTATTTAATATGCTTTCTATTTGAAAGAGAATTTATATAAAAATATAATTCACAATTTAAATATGATTTCCTAGCATCATTCATTTTTAAATTTCAACAAGTTAATAAAGTGACATATAATTCACCATACAATACCATGATAACTAATTATTTGTAAATAGTTACTAGCTAATACTGAGCTATTAAATTAATAAGTATTATATCTCGTAAACGTGAAAAAATAATATTTAAAAAAATAATTATAAAAAAAATTATGGACTTTGTATAGTAAAGACATAACAAAAGTTAATAAATAAATACTTTTTAAATAAAAGATTTATTTTAAATTACCTATCATAGCATTCTTTTTTGGTAATTATAGTTTTCATTAATAACCAAAAAGTATTTACAAATCGATCAGACTTTATACTCAGCCTTATTTTTCTCTAAACATTTAACTCTCTGTATATCCTCCTACTTACTGACTATTAAACTCTAACTACCTAGGAAATTTACATTGTTGAAGCATCCTCTTAGTAGTACTATTAGCTCAAACATGACAAATATAAGCAATCTCTCTAGCCACTATGTCCCCTGCAGTCTCCTTTTGCTCAAAAATCCTTTTGTTTCTTTTCGTCCAGATTGCATACACATATTTTGTGTATATCATCTTTACTATTCTTGATTTGGCAGTCTTCCCTTTGGTGTTCTGTTCTATCCAGTACTGCATCTGGCTCTATGTATTCAAATTCCTCCAGGTGATCTGTATCCATTGCATAAGCTTCTGTCATATATATCTTCCTGTTGGGCATTCAGCAAATAAGTGATCTCTTGTTTCTGCTACTGTTTTGCACATAACACATCGACACTTGATGATAGGCTATAATTGCATATTTTAGTCGCTTATTACACTCGAATTTACTGCACTTTAATTGAGTTTGCGCTTTAATCGCTAGTGTTTTGCACTAATTGTGTGTTTTATGCCTTGTAGATGTGATTCCGAGCTATATAGATGTTGGAATAAATTTAAGTGATTTGAAGCTTTGAAGTCTGAGTAAAAGCTCAAGGAATTAAGCCGGGATCGTGTTCGGGGGTCAAATTTGATAATTAAGTACGAACGAAGACTTGAGGAGGCATATTGCGCACTGTCTAGTAAAATAGACATAACTTTTTGCTCAGAACTCCATTTGGGCTCCACAATATATGGTTGGAAAGCTAACTCAAAGGGCTACAAGTTTCATGTTTTACGTTTTTCCAAATTCCAAACGCAACAGGGTGAAAAATGCGTTCGAAACCGCGACCGCGGAACTGACCGCGGCAGAAATCAGAGAGCTTTTCTGGCCGCGGTCCTACCGCATTTTGACCGCGGCCGCGCCCCTCCAGGCGTCCAAAAGAAGTCCTATTTCGCCTGGGACAAGTTTATTTCGGCCCTACACTATTCCAACTTGTATAAAAGGGGTCCTAAACCTATTTTGAAGGGAGGGGGGCATATTTTGAGACATAGATTCGACCTAAGGAGGCAAGAACACATTGGGAGCAAGGCGGAGAATTCTTCTACGAGTTTTTCCTTCCTCTTCCTATTTTTCATTGTTGTTTATGACTTTTAGTATTGTAGTTTTACATACTATTATGAATAGCTAATTTGTTATCTAGAGTTTTGATAGAACCTTTTGTAGGTTAAATTCTTGTTATGTTTTTATATAATTGAGCCATAGCCTTTTCTCTATTTGTTTAACTACGTTTATATTGTGGTTGATTGAAGAGCTCTCAATTACCTGTGCCTATTATTATGCATAACTCGGGAGAGAGTGCATATTTAGGTAATTGTTGAACAACACCACTCCCAGAGTATATGAGGGATCAATAACCGAGGGTTTAAAGGTGGGATTAGGGATAACGAAGCCTTGGGTGCGATCTGAAGTGAGCTGTGTTAAAAGCCAGCTAGCGTAGCTCGGGAGAGTGCGTCTAGTAAATTGTCGTAATTACTCGGGAGAGATTTACGGTAATAAGAGTGCTCATGATCGGTAGAGAATACTTAGGCGAAATTATAGAAGACATAGCGGGAAGGATTCCGACAATAGGGGAAATCATAACTCTAGACCTCCTTAATCTTTTCTCTAACCCTCAGTATCGTTAGTTGTTAATTTATATTTTAATTTGTTAGTTAATTAGTTAAACACAAGAATCTTAATATCTATAAGTTAGGAATTGTTCAAGCTTGTCTTCTTGGTGATAGTGAACAGATGTAGCTAAACCTTAGTTCTCTGTGGGATTCGACTCCGGACTTGTAAACCGGATTATATTTGCAGCGACCGCATTGTCCTTTTTATAAGGCATAGTTGGGCGTGATCAAATTTTGGCGCCGTTGCCGGGGAACTAACGGTGTAGTTGTAGGTGTACATATTGCTAGGTTTCAAGTTTGAACTTTTATTTTATTATTTGATTTTTATTTTAGTTTTATTTGTTTATTTGAGAAACATGACATCATGGAATTATGAGAATTTTGTTGTTGGTAATTCTACTTTTGATCCTCCTTATGCATATTGTGAAGGAAACCACCCAGGGCAAAATTATCAAAATATTCCTGAGAGCGAGTTTTGTGCACCAACTCAATCTTATGTGTGGAATGTGTGTGATATGTGTGGTGGTCAAGATGGTCACTTTCACGGTTGTGCTTATATTTCTTACCTTCCCCCAACCCCTTACTTTGATGGTTCTTCTTTTTCTGGTGAAGTTAATAGGAACAAAGAACCTATGGAAGTTGACCTAAAGAAGCCCAAAGATATGTTAAAGTGCATTTTGGAACAACAGAGTAAATTACTACTCCGGATAGAAAGGCAGGAGGAAACTATTCACAACTTGAAAGTTCACATGAGTCAACTGGTTGAAGTTTTTAATGCTCAACAAGCCAATATTGTGAATAGTATCCAAGAAGAGCGTGAATTAGATACAAAAATTGATGAGCTAGAGGAGGAGGCTAGAGTAGAACACCAACAATCAATCACACTAGATTTTGAGGATGTCGATGTTGTAGAAGAGATACTAGAGTCAACCAAGGATATTGAGGATACATATTTAGTTGACTCTATTGTCATTAGTGTTGAGAATGTAGATAGTCCCAATGTTCATGTAGTTTAGCGCATTGGTCCTCACTCCAAGCATTTTTCCACATTGTGTTTAGATGATGATTTGGAAATAGAGTCGTCCGAGCCATTTGAGGAGTCAAGGAATGAGGAACAAAGTGCTTACATTCTGGAATTCTTCTTGCCAGAAAGTCGGGATTACACACCTCATATAAAGGCCAAGAAGTGCCGAATACTACATTATTTTATTGGGCCAGTCATATTCGTTCCACCACCCCAGGAGCATGATCATAAAGCAGAATCAAAACTTGGGGTCCGATTCATAAGTTCAAAGTGGAGGCGGAAAGTGATTCACGTCGTGCCGCGACGTTAAATCAAGCGCTTGTTTGGAGGCAACCCAGCTTTATTGCTTTCTTTTATTTATTTTTTTATTTTTTTAATTGTATTATTTTTGTAGTGGCAATTTTTTTTATTTTCTATGAGCATGGAAAGCAAAGGTATTGGAAGGATGCATCAGCAAACCAAATGGTTAGAACTAAGTGTGAGGTACCCACACAAAGGACCAAGCTTGGGAGAAGTCTGAGTACCCCATGAACTGCTAGTGCTTCGGCCTTTGGCCTACCAGGGAGTTTCTTTTACCCTCTTGTATGTATGGGTGTGCATTGGGGACAATGCACAATTTTAAGTGTGGGGTGAGGAGATTGTCTGGGTGACTTTTCATGCTACTTTAGCTGTGTTCGTTTAATTAAATAATTTTTTTTTTAAAAAGATTGGACTTTTCCTGATGACGGATCTTCTAGACAGTTTTCTTGAGGGAAGTAAGTCTAAAGAAAATACCAAAAAGATTTTTTGTTCTGTTTTAGGTAGTGTAGTAACTCCCCCTTGGTTTTTCTTTG